TGTATCAGCTGCCCAAGGTAGTCCATTCAGTTCCCGCTACGCAAGTGAGCGTGGAAAAATCTTTTTCGGCCCTCAAAATGGTACTGACCGATCAAAGGTGTAACCTTGCTAATGAGGCTTTATCGAAATTATTATTCGTAAAATGAAATAATAAATAAATATGTTTGGAGGTTCTTTAAATAAATATGTTTGTGGAGGTAGCTTTGATAATTCTTTAAATCAGATTGGCGAAAAGTCTTACAGGAGGGCCGCGAGGCTGTGATGAGTTTTATTTTGATTGGAATAAAATAAAAATCATACGATAAGCCATTTTTTAAAAGTGGTTAAAATAATTTGTAAAGAATCTTGGGGGTAGTTTTAGTAACCTCTTTAACGGGTGTGAAATCAGATTTTAAAAAAGTCTCACAGGAGGGCCGTAAGGATCTGATGAGTTTTATATTGAGCAAAAAAAAAAAAATCATCAGTAATCATTATTTTTATACCCGTTACTCGTAGAGTAAAAGGATATATTAGATTCGTGCAAAAGTATGTAACAGGTAGAAGGAAGCGTTTCCGACCCTATAAACTATATATATTCTTCGATCTAGCCATGTCCGTCTGTCTGTCTGTATGAACGCTGAGATCTCGGAAACTCCAAAAGCTAGAAGGTTGAGATTTTCCACACATATTCTTGGGCTTCCTACGCAGCGCAAGTTTATTCCAGCGCCACGCCCCTCTAACGCCCACAATCGCCCACTAACGATTTTAAAATGTGTCCTGCGCCCATATCTTAAAAAATTTCCCAGAAGTATAAATGCAATTTGTTGTGCATATTTATACCTATCAAAATGTAGAAGAATTTTTTTAAATTGGACCATTCATTAAAAAAATGTTATATATCCATCTCCCTCGCACTCCCTTTAGCCGAGTGACGGGTACTAGATAATCGGGACACGAACCCGACTATAGAGTTCTCTCTTGTTGAGTCTTATTTTTTTTTATTAAAAATAATTATTATCCTCTAAGAAAAATATAAAAATTGAATTTTCATTTTACATTTTTATACCCTTGTAGAGGGTATTATAATTTCAGTCAGATGTTTGCAACGCAGTGAAGGAGACGTTTCCGACCACATAAAGTATATATATTCTTGATCAGCACCAATAGCCGAGTCTATCTAGCCATGTCCGTCTGTCCGTCTGTCCGTCTGTCCGTTTCTATGCGAACTAGTCTCTCAGTTTTAAAGCTATCGCGATGAAACTTTCCCGAAGGTCTTCTTTCTATTGCAGGTAGTACATATGTCGTAGCGAGCCGGATCGGACCACTATATCTTAAGGCTCCCTAACAAATATAAGAAAATTCATTGTAACTTTGTAGGAAGTAGGCGTTTTGATTCTTGACTACTTAAAAACAAAATTGAAATAAATCGAAACGCTGAATCTGGAATCCCTGGAACTGCACCGAGTGAGTATTCTTTTATCTACAAGGGTATATAAGCTTCGGCTGGCCGAAGGTAGCTTCCTTTCTTGTTTATTATTTAACTTATAATGATTACGGTCCCTGCTTTTAAATGTAAACTCCTGCTCTTAAATGTAAAGTGCTGCTATAACATTGCTTCCGACGAAATTTTAACAGTCGACTTTGGCTGTCGTTGATTTTGCTTCGGCTTTGCTTCCGACTTCCAGAAACTTTCATAGCAGTAGCACAGTAAAAGCAAAACATAGGAAGCATTCACAGCATTTTCAAATCCTGGTTTTCGGCTCGATAAAACGACAGCTGATTTCCCAAAGCCAGCTAAGAAGAAGAAACTAAATCACAGCTGTTTTTGCCTTTGAATTATACCCAAACAGATGATAAAATAATCAAAGCACGCCATTTTTTGCGCTTTACAGCACATTCTGTGCGCTAACAGCACTCTGTAATTGTTTTTCGAATGAAGAGTGGAACCAGGTTGACAACGCTCTAATGTCTGGCAACACTTGCGCACAAATCCAACCGTACAAATTTGAAATGGTGGATGAAGTACCGAGACAAAATTTGTCGCTACCTGCGCTAACATAAGGACGAGTAAACCATTTTTTGTATATCGCCCCGTTGCTCCGGCAGGCAAACTAAAGGACGGACGAGAAATCGGCCCTAAGCCTACAAAAACTGTGTTACAATGCACATTGCACTACGGGGAAAAAGTCCGTTTTTTTTTTTTGCATAAACTCTAGTTTTAAAGATAGAAACTTGAAAATTATAACATATGGGCACTTCCAAAAAAAAGTCCACCAAGCCAAAAACCTTGAAACCAAAACATATTTCCACATGATTTTGCCCTGATATTAATTTCTAATTAGTTGGATACTGAGCTTAACTACAAATTTGGAGTATAGTTTGATTATTTTTATGACAAACCCGACCAATATACGCAAAAATCAGTTTTTGGCTATTATTTTGTTATTTTTTGGACTTGTCTTCTGTTGTTAATTTATCCTATAGGAATGCTAATATGTGACATTTTTCTGTACTGAATGCTTCATTCACATGCTAAACCATTAAGTTAAAAGCAAAACATCCAGCAATTGAGAGATAGAGGTAAAGAAATCCGCTTTACAAAACAGTCGGAAAAAATGTCCCGAGCGAATGTGGTTGAAACTGCATAAAAAAAAAACGGCAAAGAATTTTTGAGTAAAACCAAAAGCATTTCACAGCGACATGTTTGAACAACATTCTAAAAAAATCGCATTAAAATATTCCATCAGAATTCGCTAATTTCTGGTGTTGTATGAACTTCCCCGAAATCCACTTCTATTTTTGTCCCGAGCGAATACGGCAGTTTTTTACCGATATCTTAAAAACTAAAAGTGGTACAAAATCAAGATTTTTACCAAAAATAGAGCTTGGGAAGAGTGAAAAGAAAAGCCCATAATTAAAATTAAAATCCATTGTTTTAGAATTTTTTTTCAACTTTAAAAGTGTGCAAATGTCCCGAGCGACATTTTGGAAGTGCCCATATACTCCTTATGCACAAATAGAATTTCGGGTTTTTCAATTTTTTGAAAAAACCGTACGATTGTTGTAGTTTTCGACTAAATTAGACATACACAAGACATTAAATAACTTGACAATGCAAACAGTTACAACACAATTCGTTTTGAGAAGTATTTATTTGACGTTAATTTCCCATTTTTTTGTTTATTTTTTAGCCCTCCAAACACTTTGCACGCCGTTGGGAAACTTTGAAGTAAAATTAGCGCGTTTTTTCTTCGAGATGAGCACGTTAATCGATAGACTTTAATCGGCTACAACAAATTACACAGGTACACAGCCAAAAATTTCCACGAACCATTTCTAGTTTTCCATGATAATTGGGTGCTCCTGAGTAAAAGTCCCATACAAAATTATTTTCCATCACCTACAGGTTCCGCGGTATAGCTAAGAATACAAAAAACCGATGTTGGTCGACATTTTGAATTACGTGGCCTATATAATTGCACTAACCTTTATTATTTTCGGTAGGACCTACTCTCAATACATCACGGCATTCCTAAAAAATAGTCCCCATTGTGAACCATTGCCCATGTCTTTGGAATTCGACGCCAAAGTTGAAAATCCCAAAATTGTAGAGATTTTTCTGATGTAAAAACAATTCTGAGGATTAAATCTTGAATGGAAGTAATTTTAACTATTCATTGTACCTATTGTTCATTGTATGCTTTAATTTCGGTTTAAAGCGTTTTCATGAGGACATTTTATTGGATTTCTTATACTAATAAAAGCTATTTTTTGATTTCATTATCTACTCCTAAAGGTTGTCAAATTTTGAATAAGTCATGGCAACCTCTAGAACTAAGAAACTAAAATACGTTCACTGAACATACATAGAAAAATGTAAATGTTTACTCCCATTCTGTAGGATGCCTTGACTTTTTTAAAATTTATCGGTTTTATTAGTATAATAAATCCAATAAGAAATATTCTCATGAAAACGCTTTAAACCGAAATTAAAGCATACAATGAACAATAGGTACAATGAATAGTTAAAATTACTTCCATTCAAGATTTAATCCTCAGAATTGTTTTTACATCAGAAAAATCTCTACAATTTTGGGATTTTCAACTTTGGCGTCGAATTCCAAAGACATGGACAATGGTTCACAATGGGGACTATTTTTTAGGAATGCCGTGATGTATTGAGAGTAGGTCCTACCGAAAATAATAAAGGTTAGTCCAATTATATAGGCCACGTAATTCAAAATGTCGACCAACATCGGTTTTTTGTATTCTTAGGTATACCGCGGAACCTGTAGGTGATGGAAAATAATTTTGTATGGGACTTTTACTCAGGAGCACCCAAATATCCTGGAAAACTTGAAATGGTTCGTGGAAATTTCACAAAGTTTAATTTTGTGTTCCTGTGTTATCGGTGGCGCGTAAATTTTTTTTTTAAATTGTTCTAAAAAGTTTAACCATTTTAGTATTAAAAAAATATTTCTTTTTTAAATTAGTAACTTTTATTTTTTATGGTTATGCCAAAAAAACGGATTTTTTCCCCATAGTGCATTGGGATGAATTGCCTTTTTTTGGCATAAACTCTAATTTTAAAGAAATGGATTTCAAATTATTTTACACAGTAGTGACTACAGTGAATTTGTATTTTGACCACGCCCAAATGAACCACCTTCGCCCGCGAAGGTAATTTTAACGATAAGGATCTAAATTTTGTTATACATAATATTGAGACTATTGTAAAATTTCGGTTTTTTCTCTTTTTTTATTTCTACCACACCCAGTCAGCCGCCCCAATGCCACATATAAAATAAATTTACGATATAACACGATATTATTATCACTAATCATCTATATTTAAATCAAAATCAAAATTTGGTTCGATCTCGAAATCCGGGTTATCAATTACGTCTTCAACAGGGGGTGTCAGCAGAATTGCATCTTTTTAACTTCTACATAAAACAATTAAATACACCAAGAAACAAGAGCATTTCCAATTCATGTCCTCTAAGCAGTATTATACATACCTTGACGAATATTTTCCATAATTCAACCGAAAGAAATTCGCGATATTTGGTAAAGAGAAATTAAGGCACACCCAGCTTAGTTCGAACAGCTGACTTTGAAGACTTGCCAAAGAGCAAGGAATGGTAACAACATTTTTTTTTTTAATAGTTTTTATGATAGTTGAACAATTTTTGAACGGATTAAAAAAAATGTGGAAAATTTCACAAAATATTTTATGCCAAAAATATGGAAATTTTATCCTAATGTGCAATGTAGAAAATATACCCAAAGTCGGTTACGATAATTCACAGAAAACAAAAACACTTATGACCGGTAAAGCGAGATGGACAGAGCAAGTAATGGCAGGGAGGTCCCTTACACAAATTGTTGGTTATTTCCATTTTTTTATTCATTTTTAACTGTGCTTTCGTTTAATACCACCGATATTTGGTTAAAGGTTTTGCAATTTTTTTGCCTGTGTAAAAAGAAATACCACATCTATAAGCGTACATTGAGCTAAAAAAAAAGCCATTGTTGGAAGTATATACAATACACATAGACACAATATGTAAAGAGGCGGCACATACACAACGATTAGCCAAGAACGCGCGATCACCGATAATAATCTTGCAACGCCAACGTTCAAAAAGTAACTGAGACTAAGCGACGAGCAGCTGTAAACGTGTCTTAGACGAGAGAGTAAAAGACAAAGACGGAGAAACGAGAGAGCCATTGAGAGATTTCCGGTTAAAGCCAAGAGTGCGCAAGCACAGAAACTGGTTTGATGCATACCCGGCTTAAAACTCATGGGATCTAATAGAAGCTCCGCTGAAGGAAGGGCTTAGTGCGGTTCTCTCGTTAACAAAATGGCATGGAGTTTGTTTTCGACTTTCTGTGTTGCGTCTGAGGAAAATCGACCAGAAACGAAAGCAAAAGAAAAAAGATATTGCTTGGCTTATTGCTAGCAGCTCTGCCACTATTTTTGACATTAATTGCACAGCCCATTGGGATGAAAAGCCTTTTTTCGGAATAAACTCTAATTTTTAAGATATATTGATACCCGTTACTCGTAGATTAAAAGGGTATATTGTATTTGTGCAAAAAAGTATATATATTCTTGATCAGGGTCACTAGCCGAGTCAATCTAGCCATGTCCGTCTGTCTGTCTGTCTGTCCGTCTGTATGAACGCTGAGATCTTGGAAACTACAAAAGCTAGAAGGTTGAGATTTCCCACACATATTCTTGGGCTTTCTACGCAGCGAAAGTTTATTTTGGCCGAGCGCCACGCCCCCTCTAACGCCCACAATCGCCCACTAACGATTTTAAAATGTGTCTGACACACATCTTTAAAGATTTCCGAGAAGTATAAATGCAATTTTGTTATGTATATTTATACCTAACGAAATGTAGAAGACATTTTTCAAATTGCACCATTCATTAAAAATGCGCAATCAAAAATGGTCTATATCCATCTCCCTCGCACTCCCTTTAGCTGAGTAACTGGTATTAGATAGTCGGGACACCAACCCGACTATAGCGTTCTCTTTAGTTTTTTTTATAGAAGTGAAATTTCGGTTTTCATTATTTTTATACCCGTTACGTATATTGTATTCGTGCAAAAGTATGTTACAGCTAGAAGGAAGCGTTTCTTACCCCATAAAGTATATATATTCTTGATCAGGGTCACTAGCCGAGTCGATCTAGCCATGTCCGTCTGTCCGTCTGTCTGTCTAGATGAACGCTGAGATCTCGGAAACTACAAAAGCTAGAGGGTTCAGATTTCCCACACATATTCTTGGGCTATTCTTGGGCTCAGCTAAGCGCCACGCCCCCTCTAAAGCCCACAATTGCCCACTAACGATGTTAAAATGTTGTGTTTGTTGTGTATATTTATACCTATCGAAATCGGACCATTCATTAAAAAGTTATGCGCAATCATAGTTTTATATCTCCATCTCCCACGAACTCCCTTAAGGTGTGACGGGTATCTGATAGTCGGGGCACCCGATTGTAGCGTTCTCTCTTGTTTTTAACTACAATACTAAGTACCTTTGAATAAATAGTTGTTAATTCTATATATTAGCGGGCTCACCCCCGAAATTCGCGAAAAAATTATCCTCGATGGACCGCGATTTCTTAAGAATTTACGTGCAAAAAGAACTTGAACACTTTTCCGCACCACCATTGAGGTAAAGTTTCAGGTTTTTCCTTTAATAACCTTTTATGACCTAGAAATCTGTCTGCTGAAGTATTCCCGAATAGAAAGTATTTGAAAGTAGTGCATTTAAACAAGAAAGTAAAAGAAAGACTGCGCCGCAGGCAAAAAAATGTAAGAAAAAATTGCGCGATTTTTTCTTAAATTTTTTTTTCGGCCGCGGCGCAGTTTCTCTTGTTCAGTATTAAAGAAGTTGTTTTAGCTAATTAAGGGTTGTTGTGTCGCTCAGTAAAACAAATTCAATCTTTAAGTTTGGTTTTTGGTGGAAAAGACAGAAAGGTTTAAATATATAATCCTCCTTGGACCGCGATTTCTTCTGATTACACCAGTTTACAAAAAAAATCGATGAAATATACCATGAATGAAACCTTTGTTTTCCGGTAAGGTACGTCTACCTGATTAAGAAAATGACACTTAAAATTTTTTTTATGGATAAAATTTTTTTTAAAGTGTATAAAACGTTTTTGACATTTTTTAATTTCTAACTTGAGTTGTGGTTAACCGATTTCAACCATAAGTGACTCACTTTACAGGTAATAGAATGCCCTCCAACTTTCTTATACATTGCATTGAGTTCCATTTATTAGTTTAGAAGCTACATTTCGACAAAGTTGAAAAAGTTAGAAAAAATGCAAAAATGCTGGCATAAATGGCTTCGTTAAAAATACACGCCTAAAAACCGAAATTATTTTTATAACTTCTACTGGTAGAAGGTGCTTTGACAAAAAAAACAAGCTATTGAATATTACAATCCACCAGCAAATTATTTTGATATGCATTTTTGAAGCTTGCGACAGCTGTTAACTGACACAACAGGGCTCTAACAGAGCTGTAATTCCCGTTTTTCCCAACGTAAAAAATCGATATAAAATCGAACTATTGATTGATTTTTTTGTTGATGGTCTTGTTAGTTGACTGAAAGATGTATCTTTAAGTATAACTCATAAAACTAATTTCGGTTTTTAGACGTGTATTTTTAACGATGCCATTTATGCCAGCATTTTTGCATTTTTTCTCACTTTTACAACTTTGACGAAGTGTAGCTTCTAAACTAATGAATGGAACTCAATGCAGTGTATAAGAAAGTTAAAGAGCATTCTATTACCTCTAAAATTAGTTATTTATGGTTGAAATCGGTTAGCCACAACTCAAGTTAGAAATTGAAAAAGGGTCAAAAACGCTTTTACACTTAAAAAAAAAATTTATCCATAAAAAAAATTTAAGTGCCATTTTCTGAATTAGGAAGACGTACCTTACCGGAAAACAAAGGTTTCATTCATGGTATATTTCATCGATTTTTTTTTGTAAACTGGTGTTATCATAATAAAAATACACATGTGGTCATCCATGGTTATGAGAGTTCTTAAGAAATCGCTGTCCATCGAGGATCATTTTTACGCGGATGTGAGGACAAGTTCCCTATAATACCAGTTACTCAGAATCTGAGTCTCAGATGTTTGGAATTTTAAATTAGTCTTATTTTGATAAAAAAGGAAAAGTACATAAAGTACATTTGGGGAAAACTAAAAAATTATTTTTTTTGAAAAGTGCCAAAAAACGACATTTTGAAAAAGAGAAGAAGAAGAACTTAGACCAAATAACAATTAAAATCAAAAGCCTCTTTGAACATTCACTTTTCCCCTAATATCAAAGAAATGTACTAGGCAGAAATCGACCTCTGTTGGCCTAAGGCCTTTTTGTATGAAAAACGGGTGTCTCAACTTACACTTACTCAACTTAATAGCTTTTTTTCTGACTGTCACATTAAGCTGATTCTTTTTTTAATTTGTTAACAGTTAATATACTAATGTTTTAAATCTCTTACCAAGTTAATTTAAGGACGTTATTAATTTTAAATGGAATTTTGAAAAAAGTAGACAAAAACTTTTTTGGTGAAAAATGGTACACGACTCTCACAGCTTAAATCTAGCTAGAGCCTGGCTTATAATGTTTTCCCCAAAAGTTTTGTCACTAAAAAGGACTAAAAAACAAAAATAAAAACAATTTTTTAGTGGATACGTTTTGAGAAAATTGAGTGTCTCAACTTACATATATTAAAAATGATATATAAAAAATGAACCTCAAGAATTCGCGACTAGGCGATGAGTTAAGAAAATAATGCTCACATAATATCGACTTTTTTATTTAATATATTTTTTATAAAATTAATAGAAATTATTAGCCCCAGCAAAAAGTGTTTGGGTAACCCCGAAACCCAACTGACCTACTTGAAACCCATTTGACCTGGGTAGTTTGGGTTTGGGTATTTGGGTAAATGAGTAACATTTTACCCAAACCCAAATGACCTGAAAATTTTGGGGTCGGGTTGGGTAGGTAATATTTAAAAAAAGCCTGACTTACTTGAACTGTTTTCAATGACAGACCGAACTACTTGACCTGAAATTTGGTTTGGTTACCCAAATAACCCATTTTGTATACCCATGCAGGGCTCTAATAAATACGTTCACTGAACATACATAGAGAAATGTATATGTTTACTCCTATTCTGTAGGATGCATTGACTTATTTAAAATTTAACAACATTTAGGGGTAGATAATGAAATAAAAAAACGGTTTTATTAGTATAAGGGTAAGAATTTCTCAACTGCGCATATGAAATTTTCGATTTTCTTCAAACTCGGCTCGTAGAGTTTGGCTTGGTTATCTGTAATACAGACCGTCCCAATCTACAGACCTCTCCCCTATACATATATGATTTTTAAAACTATTTAAATTATTTTTATAGAAACTCATTTAAACAATTAAATAGTTTTATAGGAACTCATTTAAACAATATATTAATTTTATAGGAACTCATTAAAACGTAGTTACTTTGATTGAAAATATGAGAAAAGCACCCTTGTTTTTTATAGCAAACCCGCGAACTTTGAAATTCAATTACAAGAGAACCATGGCCGACCACCAAGTTCTTTTTGCACGTAAATTTTTAAGAAATTGCGTTCCATCGAGGATAATTTTTTTACGAATATTGTAATTGATTATCATTTTACTATTAGACTAATTTGATAAAAAAAAAAGTTACAACATCAAACTTTTAAAAACACAAGGCGGCAACACTACTACTTATTTGACTATTACTTTTGTTTTTAAGTTTTTTCACTATGTTTTCTGGAATTTATTTCTGCCTTAAAAAATCCTAACTTATTCTTAGTATGAGGTTTAAAAGATAAAGAATGTATCTTTTTTAACATCGAATCAAACCATGCATCCATTTGCCTCTGAGAGCTCCGCAAATTTGGCCAATTTC